ACTCTTTCCTCTCATGTTTTTCATCTTAATAAGTTTTTAGATGGCTTGAAGCAGCCTTTTTGGGCTTGGTATAATTGTTTAAATGACTATCTCCTCTCTGTTAGTTTTTAAACTTTTAAAACTAATACTTTTTTATTTATTTTCTTTATAGGTGGTAATATCTTTTTTTTTCTGCTTATGTATGATGATGATTTTTTGCTTACTGAGAGAGATTTAGCCTTGCTCCAACATTTAATCTCCTTACTTAGTTCAAAGTTCAAGATTTGAGATTTAGATAATATTTGGTTTTATGGTTCAACCTATTTTTTAAAGTATTTTTCATTTAAAAAAAGCAACAAATCAATGTTTTTGAGGTGATTTTTGATTGTTTTGGTGTGTTGATATTAAAAATAAAAAAATCTTGAAAAAACTATCATTTTGATGCATTTCCAAGTAAAAAATATTTTTGTAAAAACACTCTGCACCACATTACCAAAGACACACTCATGCTCTTTGCATTATTTTTTAGGAATTAAAGTTAAGCATAATTTTATAGGTCCCCTGCTTACTCAACAAAAGTATTATCTAGACATTCTTCACATAATTGATATGTTTTCTTATAAATCTATTGATAGTTTTGTATTTTCTTCCTTTAAATTGGCCATAGTGTCTAATGTCTTGTACTTTAATCTTGCTAATTACAAATAGATTGTTGATACTCTTCAATATCTTACTTTCATCAAACCTGATATATGTTATGTAGTGTATAAGGTTTGTCAGTTTATACATGCTCATATTGATTCTTATTAGGCTATTGTTAAACATATCTTGCATTATCTGAAAGCTACGACAAACTATGGTTTATACATCACTCGTAGTTCATTTTTTTCTCTTTATAATTTCACTAATGTTAATTGGGCTAGCAATATTAATTATCATAAGTCTACTAGTGATTATCTTGTTTATTTAGGCACTACTCCAATTTTCTAAGTAAAGAACTATTGCTCATTCTTTTACAAGAGTCGAATATAAGGTTTTAGCTGATGACACTACTAAAATTTTATGGATTAACTCCTTGCTTTCAGAACTTTAACTTCCCTTTGTTTTTCCAGCTATATTATGGTGTCTTAATTTAGAAGCCACTAATTTATCCATAAATTCTATCTTTTATGTTTATACTAAGTATGATGAGGTTGACTAGTGACAAGATGAAAAGATTGATGTCTTCTCCCAAGTGCAGGAGTGTCGAAGTAATAAATAACCCGGCAAAACTGGGGTCGAACCACAAGAAGGTTAATTGTACAAATTATAATAACAATAATACAACAACAATAATAATAACAAGAGCAACAATAATAATAGTAATAACAATAACAATAATAACAATAAAGAAAAAGAAAGAGAAGAAGAAGAAGAAGAAGAGAACTTCGAGATGAAATATTAATGTAAGGATTAAACAATGATAATAACAAATGCCAAGGTTAGAGGTTCCACTAATGGTATGTCAAACAAGTATAGTATAAACTCTTATTACTCAATTGGAAACCACACACAAAGAAGGTTCGAATCTGATTATAGATTGTTAACATGATTACATTAGTTATCTTATTCGATTAATGCTAATACTTGTAAATCTTGTTAAGCATTCATAATTATAACTTATGTTAACAACAAATCAAGTTCCTTCCATAGCTCAGGTGTCGGTTATACCATATAGTATGAGCTATGAAAGTGCCAAGCATTTGTTGTACCAAGTGTTATACAACTTAAATTAAGATTAATCATTTAATAAGCAAAGTATTAAAGAGTGAACAAGATAACAAATACAAAACATGTTAGTATCAAACATTAAAGTCCATATTAAGTTTACATTATACTTATTCTTACACTATTAGTG